TTGCTCTTGGGTGTGTCGTGGCTATCGCACCTGAAAATGGCGTATCGGTCCAGCCTGATGGTTCAGTTCATAAACACAAGGCAAAACTTGTGGCTAAAGGCTTTGCACAGCAACAAGGGGTGGATTTCTCTGACACATTTGCTCCGGTGGCTAGACATGACACTATTAGGTTACTTCTTGCTATGGCAGCCCAATTTGGTTGGAAAATTTTCTAGCTTGATGTTAAGTCAGCATTCCTGAATGGCTAGTTGAGTGAGGAAATCTTTGTGGAGTAACCTGAAGGTTATCAAGTGAAGGGTGAAGAAGACAAAGTGTATCTGCTGAAAAAGGCCTTGTATGACCTAAAGCAGGCACCTAGAGCCTGGTACAACCACATAAATGATCATCTAAGTAGCCTAGGATATGTTAGAAGTCCTAATGAGCATACACTAAATGTTAAGGAAACTAAAGGTGACTTGATTGTGATATCTTTGTATGTGGATGATCTACTGATTACAGGGAGCAATGTAGATCAGTTGAGTCAGTTTAAGAAGTCCTTGCAATGTGAATTTGAGATGATAGATTTAGGAGAGATGACATATTTTCTTGGTATGGAGATAGTTCAGTCCAACAATGGAATTTTTGTGTGCCAAGAAAGGCATGCAAATGAGGTGCTAAGAAAGTTTAGCATGGAAAATTCCAAACCTGCTGACACTCCACTGGTTCCCAACTTGAAGCTGAGTAAGAATGATGGTGCAATGAGAATGGATGAGGGACTGTTTAGAAGCCTGATTGGATGTTTGATGTACTTAACAGCCACACAACTAGACCTCATGTTTGCTGCCGGTTATCTCTTCAGGTTTATGTGTTGTCCAAGTGAATTGCATTATAGGGCAGCCAAGAAAGTGTTAAGATATGTGAAAGGGAGCTCCAGGCTTGGTATTTGGTTCAAAAGGTCTAAAAATCTGGTGTTGTTGGGCTATACTGTCAGTGATTGGGGAGGATCACTTGATGACATGAAAAATACCTCAGGTTATGTATTCTACATCAACTCTGGTGCAATTAGCTAGCTGTCAAAGAAGCAGGAAACTGTGGCATAATCCATAGTAGAGGCAGAGTATATATCTACTGCAGTAGCTATGAATCAAGCCATTTGGCTTCGGAAAGTTCTGGCAGATTGGAAGCAGAATCAGGGAAGTCCAACTCCAATTTTGTGTGACAACTAGTCTACAGTTGCCATGGCCAAAAATGTAGTTCTTCACGGCAGGACCAAGCATATTAAGATAAAGTTTCATGTTGTAAGGGAAGCTGAATATAATGGTGAAGTTACTTTAATTCACTACAGGGGTGAGCACTAAACTGCAGACATCATGACCAAAGCATTGCCTAAAGCCAAGTTTGAAGAACTTAGACCCAAACTTGGTGTTTCCAGCAAAGGTATCAAGGAGGAGTGTTGAGGCAGTGATACCTTGCTGGAAATGCATTGATACTACAAGTTGCAGTTTGAATATTTTTGGCACCAGTTGAAGTTTACTTCTACAGTTGGTTTGACGTGCATGGCTGCAGTTTCTTGGTGCATTTTAGTTGAATGGCTTAGGTGTGATTAAGTCATGTAAATGATGCATTTTGTGTATGATTTGTTAGTTGTTAGAATTTAAATTCAAATATGTAAATATCTGCTGTAGTTGTTGTAACAGTGGATGGTTTGGTTAAGTTTTTGTATATATTGTCAGTCTAAATAAAAATGAATATAGACTTTTGCACACTCTTATTTTGTTGCTCCTTTTCTTTTCTTTGCATTCTCCGGCCAAGAACCATTGATACCATTTGATGGATCTTGAGTTGTGGTTGATGGTTGGATGCAAGAAACTTCAGATTTTTGTGTGTGGCTCTGATACCATTTGATGTTCTTGGCCGAAGAATGCAAAGAAAAGAAAAGGAGCAACAAAATAAGAGTGTGCAAAAGTCTATATTCATTTTCATTTAGACTGACAATATATACAAAACTTAACCAAACCATCCACTGTTACAACAACTATAGTAGACATTTACATATTTGAATTTAAATTCTAACAACTAACAAATCATACACAAAATGCATCATTTACATGACTTAATCAAACCTAAGCCATTCAACTAAAATGCACCAAGAAACTATAGCCATGCACGTCAGACCAATTGCAGAAGCAAACTTCAACTGGCACCAAAAATATTCAAACTGCAACCTATAGTATTGATGCATTTCCAGCAAGGTATCACTGTATCAACACAGCCATATTGGCTCAGAGGATTTGAATTTTTTTTGTTTTTTAAATTTCTTTTGGACTTTTTTTAGCTTGATTGATTTGGATTTCTGTTTAGTGTTGCTGGTTGTGTGATGGAGCTAGTTTATGGGGTTGGATTGATTTTTAAGATGAGTTTTATCCATTAATTTATGCAGTGGTTGAAAGAATGCATGGGGTAAAATGGTGGGAAAATGGTGTATCATGAAGTAAGGTTCAATAGGCATGCAATTAACAAAAATTATGGTTGAATTGATACCTTTTAAAGTTTTACAACTCTTGTATCTTCAATTGGAGATGAAAGATCTTCAAAACTTGATGAAAATCCTCAAAGTGTATCCACCCCAAGCAAGAAGAGAGTGAGCCAAATATTGCTTTCCCTTTTGAGTGAGATTTTTCGAAATTATGGTTAAATGGGATAAACATCACATATTTATATCCTTGGACCAATTAACAATTTTGAAATTGTTATTAACCCTTTAATACAATTTCATTATTCTTTATGAGTCTCTGAAACAATTTCATTTTTAAAGTTAATCATTGGTCTAAACTAATTAATAACCAAGGAATTTAACTTTTACTAAATCCCATTTTTTTTACATATTAGTCTATTATTGAATCCAATCCAATCCAATAAATATATATATATTGTTTAGTCCATTATTGAATCTAATTCAAAAATAATCAAATTACCATATTATCCTTGGTAAGTGGTAGCTTTTTATCAATAATCATTTTTCACCAATATATAAATTTGAATGCACATGTTTACATTTGAACAACGTTAACCTTTAACGATATGTATTACTCTCTCTCATTTTGCTTGGTTTTTAGGTGTGACCACTTATGTTCACTATAACCTAATCGTGGGCCCAATATTGTAATTCGATATGTTTCATCATAGCTTTTTATGATCGAAACTCTCACTGATCATGGTAAGCATTTAGCGATGCTCTATAACCCTTAAGCTACAATGAATTTAAACTCTAATGAACATTTTTTCTGATCGTCAGTACCATGTAGTAAAATTCCTCTGTCATCTAATCTCGATTAAGAATGAGTTCATGTTATGTCAAAACCTTTAACTTAATCTTTAATCGAATTGTCAATCAGTACAATGGAACATGTCAACATGAAACTACTTTTCATTTGACATTTATTATACTCTAGCCAGAGATTTCATTTTTCCAATGTTTATTGACATTCAACTGGGAACTCGAGATTAAACTATTTCAAGTTAACAGATCTCATCTTAAACATCACTTGTCCTCGCACATGAATAACATATGACCAAACTCGCTTCCTACACAAGACATGTCTAGTCTCGTGCTTATACATCATATGAACTATATGCATCATATGTTTAATCTAACCGTGATGTCTTAGATCTAAGAATCAGTGGTACACTAGTACGATTATATGATGTATTATTGACCACATTCCATATGTCCATGTAATTCATCGTAATTGATCATATTCGATAAACAATTCACTAACCGTTCATCCATACTAATGCCCTTGTGATATGACTTTCATCATCAACCACACTAATACCATCATATGATAGTCAATGGAGGCGTTTAACATGACTGTTATGCAATGTTATTGCCCAATTAGCATTACTTACGTAGGGAATGTTTCGATGATTTGATATTTTAAAGATCCATATTATCCAGACATTTTACATACAATACATATAATATAAATAAAGCAGTAAACAAACGTATGAAATAAGAACACTTTCTTTTATTAATAAAATATTCACAATATATAATATCATGGAATTGATAACACGATTGATTCTTAGGGCATACACTAATAGAGAATGTGGAGGTGGGAGTTTTTGCAGGGTCTTGAGTTAGGAGTGGTATGAGTTTTGTGTCTTAGTGTTGGGATGGTTTCGGGTGTGGTTGTCGTGAACTATTGGGTTCAAGAAAGTGATGCGGTGGGCTTTTTTTTTTTTTTAATTTAATTTATTTGAAATTTTTTTAAATATTTAGTTTTTGTTGGGTTGTTTTAGAATTTTCAGTATTTTTTTGGGTTACTAAAAAGATTCTTCAAACTCTGCTAACAAATATTCAAATAATGACCTAACTGTTACTTTCGGATTCTAGTGAACCAAACGGAAGTAGGCCAAACCTGAGGGACCAAAAGTATTTACCTCATTATAATACATCATTTAAAGATAAAAATAATACAAATTGGAAAGTGTAATATATCCTAGGTAAAAAAAATGTAGAATGTTAGCATCAGATTTAATTCTATTAAGAGAAATGATGCATTGTACAGAGACGAAAGAGTGAAACGGTGAGAATCTAGAAAAGATTTTTATGTGAAAACAAATCAATTACTTGAAAAGTCAGGTGTTTATTAACATAAAAATAGAAATGGGGTTTTTATTAACCCCCATAATTAAATCAAATAACAAAATTTTTGTTGATATTTCCGAAATAACATAAATTCTCTAAATGTTAATGAACCTTAGTACGTCGTTAAAATTAATAATATGATAGCTAAATATAAATTTATCGAATTGCCCCTATATTGTTTACTTTAACACATAAAACTTAATAGAGATTTATGATAGCACTATAACAATAAGGGAATTTTTGTGATTTAGTTATACCAAAGGGGTATTATTGTAATTAACCCAATAGAAAATAGAAACACATAAAATAAAAAAAATAAAAACACAAAAACAGTGGTTTTGGTTTTGGTTTTGGTTTTGTTGGCGTTAGAAAACAAAATCTTAAAGGAAGAAAGAAACACGGTGCTTGTCTCGCAGACCAAAAACAATTTCTCTCTCTCTTCCTCGTCTTTCATCTCTTTATAATTTCAATTGTTACATCTTTTATTATATATTTATTATGTTATACATATAATTAATAGACTATCTGGGTCAAAAAAAAAAAGCTAGAATTTTTATACATGTAACAATTGATTTTGATGGTTAATGGATCTGTGGAAAGCTGAAATCCTGTGATTGAGGGAGTTTATGTGAATGAATGAGATATGGGATTAGAATCGGTTGGTGGGTTTATGAAATCAATATCATCAGCAAGTAGAAGGGAATTTTATTTTCGAAATTTCAATCGGTGATTGATCAATCTTTGATATTTTAGGTGTTTTTTTTTTTGTTTTAATGGAGGAAGTGGAGATGGCCGATTTGTGGGTTGGAGCTTGATTTTATGTATTGGTGGTGGGTCAATGGATGAGGGCAGCCCTAGCAATGGAGGTCAAGCCACGTGGAGGCCGAGGGAGCTGGCGTTTCGCCTATATATGCTGCGCAATGAAACACAAGGTTTACGAGTTGTTGTTGGAAAGCCTGTAAGTCTTTTTAGTTTTGTAATTGTTGATTGATCATATCTTGTTCAAATGTTTGTGGGTCTGTGTTTGCATGTTGAAATTTCAAGAATTGCTTAAGCTTCTTGGTGTGGCAATGATGAATGAGGAAGGATTAAGCTTTATAGAACTGCTTAGTAGATGGAACTAGTAGTTTTATTTGTAAAGACTTTTGCTTTTTAAGTTTATGTTGCAGTAAGATATGCCATTTTGGATGAAATTAATTTTCACGTGAATCCCTATAAGGTTTAGTAGGATAGTACAAACTTGCTTAAATTTTTAGTATTGCAATCCCTTCACAAAATTGTGCATTTTCTTAGACTTATGGGTGGTAGTGTATGGAAGTAGTGTTGGCAGTTTATTACCGGGGCAGGATATTCTCCTATTCCCTTGTGTTACATAATAAGTATTATAGAAACCCTTGCTGTCACTTGTTATAATTCTTTCAATTCTTAGAATGCTCTGTTTCACTAATAACTTTACTTTCATTTCTTATCCAAAATCGTTGAAGTTCCAAATTAGTATATATCATGATAAAATCTTTTATTAATGAACTTTCACTTTCCTATCAATTGAAACTTCGGTTTCTTATCAAAACTTATTGTCAATGGTTAAACCTAATATAGTTTAGCAGTTCCCTATAAAGATAAAACGGTAAACCAGTATAAAGAGAAAAGTTCTTGTGCTGAATATCGTTATCTAGGATGACTTTCACATAATTCCAATTACACATTTCAAGAGTTTGTGATAGCTTATTGGCTCCCGTCTAACTTCTTTTATGAAGAGTCATTTGGCACAGCTATGTTGGTCACCATCCTCAAAGAATGTTTCTCTTAATGGAAATTTACCCCTCAGTCTCTAACCCACTGTCCTTCCTTCCCAAACATGCACACTAGTCTGACTATGAAAAGAAACAAATGAAAAATAAAAAAAAGGAAGTTTCTTTAAACCTTCTCCAGCGATATCTGTGTTTGATTTCTGCTCCATAATCTGTCTTAACGAATCTTCAATTAAGTCCACATAAATTCTAGTTTTATTAAACCATTCAAGTGCTTAGCTTGACCATTAGTCGGAGTCCAAATCTTCAAGATTGAAATATTTATGAACATATAAAAAGAACAATGTAATCTATATCTTATTATCTTGTCGTAAAAGTTCAACTCTTTGAACTAAACCAATTGTGGCATAGAATCAAAATATCTCTCTTAGAAGTTTTTGTTACAGTAGTGTGAACAATGCTGTGAGGCAATTTCTTGCATGGTGAACTCTTCCTATCTCCTGATAATATTGTGCAATATCAAGATGTTTTGTAAATTCTAAGCCATGAACAGTTCTTTCAATATTGTTGTCTAAACTTTTTTTTTTTTAATTTATCTTTTGAGTGGAAAAATCTGTTTATCAAGACCATGACATTGGATGCATTTTATTGTAACAAAGTGCATTTTGGTATTCATATATTAGCTTTCTCAACTGGTAATTATAGTAGACGAAAATTGGTGGCATGTTTATCTCATTACGTATAGTTCTTTAACCTCTACTGATTCAACTTATAAATAATCCTAGTGCTTACAGAATTTTGTAAGGCAACAGTGTTTCTTTTGAATGTTATAACATGCAAGAATTTTCCTAATTTTAATGTATTAGACGATTGTTGACGCTTCATTCTCTTGGAGAATTTGGTGGTTACCAATTTCCATTATTCCTTAAAAGAAGCTTGCACTCTTCATTCCATTTTGTTATATGTGTTAGTTTGAGCTGATTAAATGAGTATGATAAGTCCCTTTTCCTTTCTCATTGTTGGTTATCATGAGATCCATTAGTGAGCTTTCTATAGCATTAATCATTAAGTTAATTAAAAAAAAAAAAAAAAAAAAAATGATGGGTAGGTGGGAGGTGTTACCTTAACTTGCTCTCCTTGGATTTTGTCCAGATTCCCCATCTTAAATTAGATTGGGTTGCCATCGGATCAGGGAATTCTAGATTCATCTAGGCAACAGATTATTATAGTTAGATATGATACTTTGATCAAATAAATATCCAATAGATACAAATTAAACTCAAATCTTACTAAATATGTAGCTGGCTAACTTGTCCTGGTACAAATATATTGTAATGATACAAAATGCTGGAAACTTTGAAGTCTTGGTTATTTATCTGTGCCGATTTCGAGATTTGGGCTTAAGTTTTCGCATTATGAACATTTATCAATGCATGATCCATACTTTTAAATTAAGTCTGAGATTTTGGACTGATGTGAAATAATTGAATAAAAAATATTTCATTGCTGCTATCTGTATGAATTCAAGTCATGATGCATGAGAATGGAAGAAGAAAAGGGGGAGTTGTTTAAATGTAGATACATCTGTTATCCAATTTGTTAACATGTATTATGCCTTTGTTGTCTTCTAGCAGAAATTTAATTGATCTGCGATTTATATATTTTAAATTATTTAATATACTTTTGATAATGGTTAGACGGCTCGCAAGAGTAAAGATTGTTTGAGGAAAACATTTGTGCTGACATGCAACTTTTATTTTGCAGTTGGTGTCCAGACTTACCAAGGATATAGTTGAAACATACCAAATATGCAACCCACAGTTCAAGTATTCTGAAGAACTAAATCCAAAGCGGTATTTGACCAGCCCATCTGTTGGGGTCCTCAATGATGGCTATGATAATGTTAACTCAGATCTTATTTTGGCTGTGAACTTTGTCTTGGTCAATTTAGAGACGCAGAGAAGGTTCGTGATTGGTTATTTAATTTTTTTTTTTGATAGTCACCTAGTACTTCTGAAATTGATCTTCTTTCTTGTACCACTTAGCATGGCCTTGAAGTGAGTCTGTGTGTGGGTATGCTACATTGGTATATAAAGCATCAAATTAATTTTGTTGTGATCATGGTATAACAGCTGTCTTAGTGGCAACTATTTTAGGTAAACTGAGTTTTAACATAAATTCTGATGTTATATATCATCCAAAAGTGTATGTTGGTCATTCATGAATTGTTAGCTTCCTTGAGATGTAACCAGCATCTACTCGTTGTCTTGTGAATAAATATTTAATGTTCACATTTTTTAATTACTCGGCAATGGCACATTTAATGCACTGAAATGATTTTAACTCTGTGCAACCCAGGATTGTATTTCTCTCTCATTTATTACGTTCATTTTCTTTCTTTCTTTTTTTTTTTTTTTTGGTTTATCAGTTAAAATTTGGACTGTGGTTGCTGATTTTCTGCTCAGACATCTGAACCTTCTCTAGGGATGGAAAAATACACTTCAAGCTGATTTGACCATTGATTTTTCAAGAATAGGGCTGGTGGCAGAATTTAGCTCCATATCCATGGTTGCCTTATTTGAATTTCTGATGTAGGACAGATCAAAGAAAAGAAAGAAAGATAGAGATCAGAGATAGAATTAGAGAGGAAGAAAGGAAAGATACATATCAGAGATAGAACTGAAGAGAAAGAGGAGAAATTAGAGAATAGGCAGAAATAAGAGCAAAGAAATATAGATATTAGAGAAAAGGGGAGATATTGGAGAAGAGACAGGAATAAGAGAGAGATGGAAGAGAAATTTAAGATGAGGATAATAATAAAAGAAAAGTACATAAATTTAGAGGAAGGAGAGAAGAGTAGAAATGAGAGAGAACCAATAATCAATGTTATTCATTCATTTTCACTTTATTCAAAATAAAGTACATCCAGGCCTATGTATAATGGTCTGAAAAAACTGTAAAAATAAGTAAATAAGTGTTTTTGGATTAAACTAATAATACTAAAGATAATTTTAGCAAACAAGATATCTAATCAATACTATTTGTATAAAATAATAAGATAAATCCAATAAGCTAAAAAAAATTCCCTAATTAAAAGGTCCTAAAATATTAAAAGATTCTTAGTTCTGCATCAATTTCTTTACCAGACCTACCATGTCTTTGAAATGCCTCTGTTTGTATCATTGTATAGATGGGGAGGGCTTTTGGAGCTTTGGTTTTGCCGGGCTGGACCAGCACTGGTCTAAGTCAGACCTCAGTGCAGGCACCATCTCAATAGGAAACGAGAAAGTGTTTTCTAGAAGTTCATTGGTTAAATGTTGCATTTAAAAGTTTGAAATCTTTTGAAAATATATTTAACTAGGTGCTCACGGTGGTAGCAATAGTGCCTAATGGTTATTGGGACATATAGGAGCGAGTGAGATGGGGTGGTAACATGGGTGACCATTGTTAGTAATTAGATGGTAGAAATAACAAAATTGCAATGATAATAATGATTCAATTAGCGATATTTTGCATGAAAATAATCTGAATTTCATCTATGGATAATATAATTTGATTAAGAAATGAGGGTTAGGCCTGTGTGCCATGAGCACTGGTTTGTATCAAACTTTGATCACCTGTACAAAGCCCAGTGGGCCATTTTCTTTAGCCATAGTCTGTCTTTTGTTGAGCCAGGCAGTTTGGCCACCTTGCATTGGGCTTTTCATAGCTTCTGAAAGTTCTGTTTCAGAGTTCTTGACTATGTAATTTATTTAGCATTTGTTTTGGAATCTCAATATGCTTTTGTGCTATTTGTTTGACATGGCATTTGGTTAATTGCGCTATTTGTTTGACACGGCATTTGGTTAACTAAGTTTTTTTTTCATATATGTACTTGCTTTTTGCTTCATCCTTTGTATGCGAACGATGAGGCACCATACACTGGAGTGTATTGTGAATATTGTATGTGTAGTTCAGTATGCTTTCTGTGTCCCACCCTATATTCTGTTAATATAGGATTTCTAAGTCAAACGTTTAATCTCCTCTTATCAAAAAAGAAAACCAATCAGACTTGTAGTTTTCTTATAAAAACATCAAACATCTAATTGTCTTTTCTGATCATATGCAGATATGTTGTCAAAGATGTTCTCGGTCATGGAACTTTTGGGCAGGTTGCTAAGTGCTGGGATGCAGAAACGAATGGTTTTGTTGCTCTGAAGATAATTAAAAATCAACCTGCATACTATCAGCAGGCATTGGTTGAAGTATCTATTTTGACAACGGTACCTAATTCTGCTTTAGCATTATATTTCTCACTGGCAGTGATTATTAGTAGTAAAATTTTTGTTTGCTCTGCTGTTTGGTTTTTTGCAGTTAAACAAGAAGTATGATCCAGACGATAAGCATCACATTGTTCGTATTTATGATTACTTTGTACATCAACGCCATTTGTGCATTTGCTTTGAACTACTGGACACAAATCTGTAAGTTACCAACCTATGTATCACTTGTGCCTTTGTGCTGTAAAATAAGATTCATCAGTTGTGACTTCTCATACTTACATTTATATGTATATGTATAGGAAAATGATAGACTTACCGACTGGTGTGTACCGATTTTGTGCACCGAATGACGTGGCAAAATCCTGGCCGTTGATTAATATTAACTGATAATAAATAAACGGTCAGGATTGTGCCACGTCATTCGGTACACAAAATCGGTACACACCAGTCGGTAACTGTAGCATTACTCATATGTATATTGTTTTAGCTTTTTGTGCACCTTGGTTTTGACATTCTATAGTAATTCAGGTATGAGCTTATCAAGATTAATCACTTTAGGGGGTTATCATTGAGCATTGTCCAATTGTTCTCTAAACAGGTATAGCATTTTAGCTTAGTATTCAGTTTGCCTTTACTACAATTTCTTATGGTTCAATCTTATGGTGTTGCACTATGTCTTATTTGTATTCTACATAGATTTTACGTGGACTGGCTCTGTTAAAAGATGCTGGGATAATTCACTGTGATCTGAAGCCAGAAAATATTCTTTTGTGCACAAGGTAAAATACTCTGGCATGTTTTGTTTGCAAACTGTCTGATAGATTTTTTCTTGTTGAACTTATATTTTTTTCTTGAAAATAGTGTAAAGCCGGCAGAAATTAAAATAATTGACTTTGGATCAGCATGCATGGAAGATCGCACTGTATACTCCTACATTCAGGTTTTCTATTTATGTTTATTGCTAGGCTTCTGTTTTGATTTAATCATGCTCATAACTATTTAATTTACTGCATATTCTTTTTGCTTCTGCAGAGTCGTTACTATAGATCTCCAGAAGTTCTTCTTGGGTATCAGTATCCTATTAAATGAAATTTTGGCTTTGTTCTTGTTATTTCATGCCACTTTAATCCAATTTGGGTTCTGCTTTTTTAAATATCTAGTTTATGCTGAATTAGTCCAACTTCCAGGTTTTAAATGAACTATTATAACTTGTTTGAGGTTGAGCTGAAAAATTTGGACCCAACCACATTATTTGATAAGCTTGGGTTGAGGTTTCAGAGTGATTTTTTCATGTTGAGAGTTAAATTTTCAGCATCATTTATATATGAGAGTAGATACTGAATACCTTGGCATAATCTTTTGAAGTAGTCCCAGCAGGGAAGGGCCTAGCTTCTGCACCCCAATCCTCTGTGTTTCAGTTCATATACACACTTGTAAGTGTGTAATTATCTCCTTGGTTTCCTAGTAGGGAGTTTTGAAGTTGTTTCCAGTTGCTCTTCAACAACCTTTTATTTACTTATCAAAATAATGGGATAAATAAGGTGAAAAGTCTCTTGCTTTTTAATGATACAGCTTAGCCTTAAGAAGACTAGAATTTTTAAAGTTCATGATAATCCAATCTCAACTGTTAATCGATTGATCTGACTGAACCTAGGTGGAAGGTTTTGATTGGATGTTTCTGTTAAAAAAAGTTAAAAGTCTCTTGCTTTTAATGCTCCAGCTTAGCCTTAGGCCATTCCTTTCCCTTGTGATGGAAGTTTCAATTGTAAGTTTCTGTTTGCATCTATCAGTTAAGCTGTTTAGAACCTTCAGTTTGGTTCTTTATGGTATTTGATGTGCTGTAGATTATAGTCCTGATTATAATTTGTGCAAGCTTCTTGATGTTCTGCCATTAACTCTTCATAGATATACTACGGCTATTGATATGTGGTCCTTTGGGTGCATAGTTGCTGAATTGTTTCTAGGGCTGCCATTATTCCCAGGAGCTTCAGAATTTGATCTTTTGAGGCGAATGATTGAAATACTTGGGTATGACTCTTTCTTTAGTTCTTTTGTGTTAGCAAATAAGTTTAAACCATATTTTATGTGTTTAATCTTCATGTTCTTGCTCATGATTATGTTGAATCTTTCAAGTCAAATGATTGAAATACTTGGATCTAGCGTCTTCTTTTGTTCTTTTGTGTTTGCAAATAGTATTAGATCATATTTCATCTTCTTAGATATCGTATTCTAGTGCATGATTGCGTTGTCTTTGATTGGCTTATATAATTTCTTGTAATGTAAAGAGGAAAATAAGGCAAGTTTGTAATAGCCTCTGAATTTCTTGTATCAAAGCGTGGAAATTAGTTTCAAAATTCCAATGCTTTTTCTTTTGTTTATTTTCTAGCAGAAGCATAAGAATCCATTTGAAAATGATACAAACTTCAAATATAAATAACAGTGGATATAAGAGTTATTGACAAAAAATATAAAACAAAACTATATAATATTTTCAGGGTGCTTGGAGAACCTCTTGCATTTAGGTCTTGCAGATACTTGCACGAGATCTCCTATTGATATATATTTAGGCAAAAGACTTTTTTGGTGTCTGCCCCAAAAGAGGAGATTGTTGATGTGAAGTTACTGAAGGAGATACTATATATGGACAAAAGACCTTTCAATATTAAGTTCTGATGGAGGTGAATATGTAGTCACAAAATCCTTTCTAACAGCTCTAAAGTGATTTAATAGATTCCAGTGTAGCCTGAAATTGAGGTAGACAACTTGCTTAGCATGCATTTTTGGAATTTTGGGGGAATGGTTTGATTTCTTAACATGGATCTAGTTTTTTTTTTTCTTTTTCTTTTTCTTTTTGGTAACTTCACTTGGCAGAGCCCCACTGCTTGTTGAAGCTTTGCACAATTAATTCAATCTGTGTCAGCCTAAAAATTGCTCACCCTATGGCTAACATTGAAAGTTCCATAATTTGATAGGTGTATATGAAAGGTTTAAACCATAGGAACATGTGTAAGCATACGTACAAACAGAAAATTGAGGCAAAATGACTTATTTAAGTTCCGTAAACAACAATACTTGTATACAAAGGATATTATGTTTCTTAACATATTTTAATTATTAATTACTACGGCAAAGTTTATAATTTCTATATAAAGGAAAGAATACTAGTGAATGGAGAAGATTAATTACTTATAGCAAGTTGTATCACACCTGTTTACACCAAAGTTGGATTTACATGGACCATAAGTGATTGTTTATCACATTGAATATAGAATGTATAGATAAAATTTCCCGCTTTGGTCTAAGCTAATTATAGAAGGGGATGTTTAGTGGAAGCTTAGAACCATGCATACAGTGTGTGCAACCGTCCATCTATTTTTTTCTTTTTCCCTAAGTAAAAATATGTCAATATCTTTGAAAGATATTCCTTGCATGAAATAACATCTTTCATAACTGGGCGTGGAGTTTTTACTCAATAAACAACTTAAGTTTTTAATCAAGGGTTTGTTTTTCTACTCTTTTCTTATGTTTTTATTTATTTAAAACTATGAGAATGTAGAAGAAAATGAACTTTTGCATTTTAGTTTGGCTAATACTTCCATGTATGTCATATTTGACAATTATTTTGTTTTCAGGATATTATACCCAGTGTAAGGCTTTTCTTTTTGGTGCTTATAAAATACCAATTGGTTTAAACTTTGCAAATATTTTCAATTCTCATTCATGTATGGTTGACATTTTGTAGAGAACAGCCCCCTGATTATGTACTAAAGGAGGCAAAAAATACAAGCAAGTTTTTCAAGTGCATTGGGAGTGTCCACAGTATGGATAATGGTGAAGTTTTCATGGGTGGAAGAAGTGCTTACCAAGCACTAACAGAGATGGAGTATGAAGCTGTAAGTATTCACATTATAGTTTTTGCTGTCGGAGGATGTTAGAAACCCCAAACTTCACCTGCAAAAGATCACTCACAAACAACTACCCAGACCACTCTGAAACTCCAATAGTCAACAACCCAGAAATTCCAGTCACACAAGAACAGTTTAATCACTTCAAAACAATTAAAGAACACAAGCAATACTGAATAACTCAATTTATATATAGAATAGCAACTCTGTGACAACATTACTCCAATAACAGTTCATCTACAACTACAATTCAGCATAACAGAAGATAAACATAAACCAAACCATTTAAGATAAATTTGCTAAGAACAAAGAAACCCGCTGGACTTCAAGGGCCAGCACCTCCCCAACCCCTTTCCCTTTTTACTATTTTCGAATGATCCTAGATAGATCCCTCACATTATCTTTTATTTTTCGTACTCTCTTAGTATAACTGAATTCAGCCCCCCATCAATCATCACTTGCCACTTGTCACTCTCTCATAAACCTAATACCACCCACACACTCACGCATACAGCCTGACAATAAGTCCCCCATCCCTTTTTTACACCTTTATTTTTCCTCCCATACTCATATGTGGTGTTGGTCTCATCAGAGGATAAGTATTATAAAAGAGGTTATAAGATGAATAGGTCTTGTTAAATCTCTAGTAAATGATATCTGTATACCAATTATACAGATTTACTCTTTTGTGATGTAAATAGTATTCCTGATTGTCAAATTTTGACTGTTTGTCAGAGAGAGTTGAAAAAACCACTGATTGGGAAAGAGTACTTCAATCATAAGAACCTTGCAGAAATTGTTACAAACTACCCTTACAGAAAGAACTTGTCTATGGAAGATATTGTGAAAGGTTAGCTTCAATGTTTTTAAATATTTGAACCATGGAACACATTAAAAAGTGTTTTCGAATGTGTCACTAACATCTTTTGTGATGTCTTTGATGTTTTTACTATAATGAATCATTGACAGAAAGTCAAGGACGATTAGCTTTGCTTGATTTTCTTAAGGGACTTGTTGAGTTTGATCCTGCTAAACGGTGGTCACCTTTTCAGGTTATTGTATTCTCCCAGTTTTCTTCATCTGTTTACTCCCTGAATAAGCTGCTATATATATAAATGTACATTAAAGTAAATAGTTAGAGTTTGAATTCATTTGCCTGCAGGCTTCAAGACATCCTTTTGTGACAGGGGAACCTTTCACTTGCCCTTATGAACCACCCCCAGAGACACCTCGCATGGTAAGTGGATCTATGTGTATTTTGGATTTTCTAGCCCATTGTCTTGTACTTTTGATTGCTTTAATATTGTGAACCTCTTCCAACTGTTATTCTCAATGGTTGGCACCAGACAAGCAAAGGAGTTTTTCAGATTCTCAGCATTAGACTCGCATTCTGGTTGGGCTCATCATTTTCTATGTTGTTTCTATAACTCTCAAAATTTTCCTTTTTTTTATTATATTTTCTATTTCAGTATGGCATGTATAGTTTTATGTTTTCAATCTTCAAAGCGTAGATATTTCATTTTTAAAGAATTTTAAATTTGTCAATTTCATTTTCGGAGTTCAATTTTTTTCTCAATCACAAAGCGCTTTGTGAAGACTTTGGATGTATAAATAAGGTAAACTGCACTTGACTGCCTAACTGATTAGTGAATGTTAGCTTATATTTTGAGGACAGTTCTTATTTTGGTTTATAGTTTTCAAGCTGATCAATATCTTATACAGTTCCTTGTACTTATCTTTCTGCAGTTGGCTCTGCCAACTATCAAAATAACGATGCTAATGGTGAAAAAATAGAAGAACAAAAATAGGCTTTTATTCTGCCAGGGATATTGCTTGTCTATTTTAAAATAAAGGGGGTCTCATAACATTTCTGAACTAGAGGCATTCTGTGTAATTTATTCTGTAAAATGTTAGGCATTTTTCAGTTATCTAGTTTCTGTTGACATACATTAAACTTAAATTCTTTTTCAGCCTGTTGGTCAGAATATTAAGGTGGATCATCACCCAGGTGCAGGCCATTGGTTTGCTGCTGGTCTTTCTCCTAATGTAAGCATATTTTCCTTTAAACAATCTAAGAGGTTACGCAGATGATTAATTATCATTTTCTGCAACTATTGATAACTTCATTATAATATATTTTGTAATCCAGAAAAAGATAAATAAGCAGATTATGTTTACTTTTCATGCAGATTTCTGGCAGGAACAAATTTTCCCTGCATAATACCCCACATTTTCAGGTGGTGCCATATGCTCATGGTAATAGTTATGGTAGTGTGGGAAGCTATGGTAGTTATAATGATGGTACTGGGCTTGGAAGTAGTTACGGGAGTTATGGTGATGGTGGCAATATGTTTGCCTATTTCTCTCCTGTTGGTCCATCTGGGATGAACATGGCTGCACAAGGAGGCATGTCAATGCTTGGAAGTAGCCCTGATGCAAGAAAGAGGGTCATTCAGTATTCTCATGGAAATGGGCTTGGTGTGAGTCCATCAGCAGGAATTATGGTTCCACTCCCCCTAGGTACTAGTCCCTCACAATTCACTCCTCCAAGCTCATATGGTCAGGTTTCAGCTGGCTCTCCTGGACATTATGGTCCAACTTCTCCTGCAAGAAGCAGTGTTCATGGATCTCCTTTAGGAAAAATGGCTGCTGTTACCCACTATAATAGAAGAAAAAGTTGGGGATATTCTGGAAATTCTCAAGAGAGTTCATCATCTCAACATTGGCAAGGACAATCTATTGATGGCACCAGCTCTGGTCAATCTGAAGCTAACTCTCAAGTACTTGGTAGTTTGTCATCAAATCTGCAATCAAATCCAGGTTCCTCCAACTCAAAGCAGCAACGAGGAGGCTCCGGAATTACTCATAATTTGTCTGCGATGAAGAGCATGTCCAGCTCGTTAACACGTGGTTCTTGTAGTGCAGAAACAGCTCATGATAAACCTGAAGCTGGCCTGTCAATGCCAGATCCTGGAGACTGGGATCCCAATTATAGGTAAGCAGTCTATAACTTACAAATGCATTGTCAATGTTTGTAAAATGAATTCTGGGATAAACTGGTGTTCTAGATGTGTATATGCATGCATTATCTAAGATAACATTGATTTGTAGTCCATGCAAACTGCCTGTTGTATGCATCTAATTCTAGCAAGAGATTGTGATGTTTGTATTCTTACTTTGAACAAAATCTTTTAGTTTTATTAACACTTTGGCATTTTGAACTATTGAATTTAATGGCCTTTTGTAGCGGCTGCCTGGGGCAGACCATTTGCCTTAGCTACTGGTGCTTTAAATCTCTAGGACCAGCTTGGTTACCTTTCCGTAGGCCATTGGTGCCTATTACCAACTAGCAACCATCTTTTCTTTTCAATGCATTGTAACTGTCTAGATTCTTTCATTCTTTCTATATGTTAATTCCATTTATTCTGATTTTTATTGTGGATTGTACTTTTTCTCCACTTATGATGTAGATGTAGACACAGATAAAAATTGTAATCTTTTAGGATGTGTGGATAATTACACTTCTTGTATAATGAAAGGATAGTGCCAAGGATATCTGATATCAATGCTATTTCTCATTTCTATAAATACTTCAATAATTTAAATATTTCCATTACTACACATTCGAAATATTTAGTTTTAATTTTATAAACTATAATAAAAAGACTGGAGTGGAAAAAAAAAAAGTTGTCTATGCTTAGAGCCTTTGGCCTTCTCATGTTACTTGATCATCTTAATGTGTTATTATGAAATTATTATCATGTTTTTGAGTAACCCTATGACAGGTCATGGCCTTATCATGATCAGGAATTTTTCCCATGCTTTTAACCTAGGAACTAAGGGCTCGTTTATTTAGATTTTTGTCATTTGAACAGTGGTGCTCAATAACATTAATTCTGATTTTTATTTATTCCTGTTTCAGTGATGAACTTCTTCTGCAAGATGGTCCAGATGAGACCTCCTTAACTGCTGAGTTAAGCAAAGCTATGCATCTTGGTTCGGCTGATTCATCAGTTGGAATTGGAAGATTCAACCGCGCCTCAAGCACAAGCTCAAATCTACCCATCCAAAGGTGGAATCGTATATTCTTTAGACTAGATTTACTTAGTCTCTTCCTGTCAAAAATTAAGCATGGTTCATGTGAATTTCTTTGCATTTATTTCCTGCTGGCAAATTATGGGTCTGTTTTATTTAACAGAACATATGCAATATGAGATGACACAAATGACTTGGGGATGAATAGGCACTTCAATGTTCTGCAGTATCATTTGACTGGAAAATATAACACAATAAAATTGAACTTTTGACTAGAGTGAAGCCTCACTAGTATGGGAATGCCAAAAGGGTGCATGTTTTGCTCCCTTTATTATTACTCTTTTTGGTTTCTGATTGTTTGTCCTGCACAGAAACTTGGAGGGGATCTGTTTCTTTCATTTTTAACTCTTTTTGCTGTTCATTTTGTAATGGTTTCATTTCATGCACTTCAGACAAAATGGGCCCATCCAAGCATTTTCACATGGAGACATGGGCAGTCCACCGTCAGCTCATGACCCACAGGTTGGATATTCCCGTTTCATGTCAAAGCCTTCTCATTTCATGACTCACAGCTCACAGAATTCTCCAAGCCGTTTAGGACAGCCACCTGTTCAACGGTTCAATTATATGAGGCCCAATGCTCCTCAAGGGAGTGAATGGAATCATATCAAGGTGCCGCCTCCTGCTTCTAGCTTTAACTCTGGCGGCCAACGTTCTCCTGGAAGTGGCTCATTCAACAACGTCATACCATGGGGTATCTCCTGAGACTTGGCAATTTCAAGTCACTCCAACCTTATGCTTTAACCTATCTCTGTTTTGCACAGTAACATTTTATTTAATTAGAGTTGTGTGAGTTAAAAAACATAACTTGTGTGTGATGAATAGGTGATTGAATGTGCTGATGTGATTTTACTTGATTGTGTGAATTTATTGTAGGACGTAGGGCCAATCATCCTGTCACAAATATTCCAACTGCATCTCGTGGAAGAAAAGACTATGGAAGGATTGTGTGATGTTGGAATCCGCTTGATTTCAGTAGGAGGGATTATGTATTGAGTTGGCAAGAAAATTGTACTCTGTAGTAATTCACATGTCTAGTGGGCTTCTAAGCAAATCCTCATCCAAACCATGCTCATTCTTTGTGCTTGCATAAATGTAATTTATGGTTATTGTTTTTCTTGTCATCTGGTAATTTACATGCAGCTGAGTTTCTTTTGTTGCTTTAATGGCCTTTCCCAGATCAAAAAATTAATTTAGTTTGTGTTTAATTGGGATTGCTTTTTTATTTTGTTTGAGGAACTCTAACACTAACCTATTGATTGAGGTTTATATTGCAGCCGCTGAAAGGAATAGGAATCCAAAAAGACAGAGTTATATTGTCAAGGTGATGGCTGGAGTTTTTCATTTAGTTGAGGTGTTGGAAATGGAAGCTGTAAATGTAGTAGAATTGTTTTATTTTTTCCATTTTGTAAAAAATTATTTGACCAATTCTTTTTCTCTAAGCCAATTTGCGTTGTAAAGTTAAGCAAGTTATTGATCCTTGAGTTCAGCAGGATATTTGATCAGTTTGAACAAGAAAGATTACAAGTTGAGGAAAGGTAATTTTGATAATTTACTTTATTTATATGCAAATGTCACAATAGTACTCTATCTCTAAACTCTTTCAATAAGGCCATTTGGGCACCTGAAGAGGATTAGCTGGTCTTAGATTTTTATGAAATTACAAAGTTGATCATCTTTATAGAAGATACCTTCTAATAAATAGCAGTAATAGTGTAATACTAGCGTAGGATGGATTATTTTATGATTTGATAACACAAAATTTTAAAATTATAATTAATTTAGAGGTATTATTATCAATTTATTCTATTCTTTACTACAAGTTTTAAAATTCAATGGAAAAAATCATTTGATTGGAGAATGATTAAGATTTAAAAAATTCAAAACCCAAAAACAAATTTCCTATATATTTTATAGAAGTTACTTTGTATATTGTTAATCCCACACAAACCACGTGGTATTTGACATTACTCTAATAATGTCCTCTTATATTACTTATAGGGGGGTTTCTGGTTCAGGGAATGTTGGATTACTGGAAAGATAGATTAACTTAAAGATTATTGGAAATTTTTAGGAAAATATGTTTGATTAATTGGTGGGTATGTTATATTAATATGTTTGGTTAAGAGGAATAAATTGGTGGGTATGTTGTTTAAATTATTGAATTGTCTTCTAATTAAATATTATTATTATATTATTTTTTAATATTATTATTATTTGGATTATATACCCCTCTATATTTAAAAACTTAGCAAAAACAACCCCATAATAAAAGTTTAAAAAATCAACAGAGCACCCCTATCAAACCAGCCACTGTCGGCCGTTGGTAACCTAACGATGCACAGAAGGCAGGAAATAGCCTCTGTGCGTGGTATGGCCATTTCTGGCCAGAGATCTGGCCGAAAATGGCCAAACTTGATAGATCTGGTCGTCGACAGCCAGATCAATGATGAATCTGGCCTTTGACGACTATATCGACGCACGACGATCATTTTCGGCCTTTCGTGCGTCATTTCGGAGGCAGCTGGCCGCGACGGTGGTTACCGACGGTAGGTGGCTGGGGGTGGTGGCTTGGGTGGGCTGTAATTTGTTTTAAATTCAAGGGTAATTTTATTCAAAAAGTTAATTAATTAGGGTTGAAATAGTAAAAGTCATATTCATGTAAATAAATTTAAAAATAAGGGCATTATTGTCTTAAAATTTTATTAATAAGGGATAGAATTGTAACAAAAAAAAAATAACCCTAGTAATCTTAGAATACTTAAGAAAATGAAGGTAATCAGATTACCTCAAATATTATCAATAGTAACCACTGTTGGTATTTAAAGATTACCGGTATCTTATATTACTTGACAACCAAACATGGTAATCAAGTAATATAAGATGACTTAACCTTAGTAATCTCCAATACCCTTCAACCAAACGCTCTCATATTATCATGTTTAGTTGTCAAGTAATATAAAATTCTGGTAATCCTCCAATAGTAATGATAATTATTGTTGGTTATATAGGTGGTAATTTAATTACTACAATTTTCTTGGATATTTTGAGATTACTTGATAACTTATTTTTGTTACAATTTTACCTTTTATTAATAAATTTTTAGAACAATAATGCCCTTGTTATCTAAACAATTTACAAGAATTTTTATTGACAATTTTAACCTTATATATAAGATTTTTAAGACATTATTGCCCTAGTACTTCAACCAAATTACCCAAGACCACAACTAGATCTGGCCACCATCGTCGGCCGCCAGCCACTACCGGTGGCCATCAACCACCACCATCGGTCGTTGTCAACAGCTATTGGAACAAGGAACAACTGATCGGATTTAGTTGGTCGTGTGCTGATCTGGTCGTTTTCGGTCAGATTAATGGTCGGAAACAGCCAGATGGTCGTAGATCTGGTTAGAAACAATTAGATCTATCCTGGCCAGAAACAAGTAGATATATTCTAGTCATTTTCGGTCAGGTCCATAATTGTTAACGACTAGAACTATGACCTTTTACAACCATGGATCTGGTCGTTAACGGCCAACTGGCCATTTCCGACCATTAATCTGGCCGTTAACGGCCAACTGGCCATTTTTGACCATTGATCTGGCAAAAAACGGTTAGATCGGCCCATGACCAGCCAGATTCGACAACTTTCAATGGTGGTGGCTGGCGACCAGTAGTGGCTTGAGTGGGTGGGGGTGATTTTGTTAAAATTTAAACTTTTATTGTAGCAGGGGTGTTTTAGCAAAATCTCAAATGTAGGGGGTTAAAAAAATAGTTCAAATAATAATAATAATAAAAGGGCAATTCAATAATCTAAATAATATTCCTACTAATTTATTCCTACCTGAAAGAGTCTATGCTATTTGAGCTAAAATTGATGAATACATAAACCAAAACGTGTTAAATATGAATAAGGATGGATATGGCATCTTACTTGACAAAGTTAGGGTAGAAAAATTACCTTTTGAAGCCGAACAACACTTGAAGCCTTCAATGGAAGTGAGAGATCTCCAAAAAGATGAAGAATCCTCCAAGTAAAAGTCCACAACCAAGAGAGAAAGAGATGACCGATTTTTACTAGAGGGTGAGATATTTTTTAAAATAAAAAATTAGGTTAAAAGTGGAGATGTAATTATATGCTTGGGCCATTTTTAAATTTTTGAAACTTTTGGATCCTTTGAAACTTATTTCAAATTAGAAGTTACCACATGGTTTAAACCAATTTATAACCAAGGCACGCATCATTATCCCATTATATATTTAACCTATAATTGAATCCAATTCAATAATTATGTAAATATATCAACCTATTACTGAATCTAATCTAGTAATGACCAAAATACCATATTACCCTTGGTAAGTGTTAGCTTTTTCCAACGTTTATTGACATTTGACTGGAAACTCGAGATCAAACTTTTTCAAGTAAACAGATCTCGTCTTGACCATCACTTGTCCTTGCACATGAATAACATATGACTAAACCGGATTCTTACATAAGACATGACTAGTTTCCCTTACACCATATAAACTATATGCATCTTATGTTGAATCCAACCATTATATCTCAGGTCTAAAGATCAATGGTACACTAGTATGATCCTATGATGTATCATTGACCACATTCTAAATGTCCATGTGATTCATTGTATCCAGTCATATTCAATAAATAGTTCACTAATTGTTTATTCATGCTAATGTCCTAGTGACATAACTCTTATAATCATCCACATTAATACCATCACATGATAATCAATTGAGACATTCAATATGCCTACTATGCAATGTTATTGCCCAATTAACATTGCTTACATGGGGAATGTTTCGATGATTTAATTTTCTGAAGATCCGCATAAAATAATATATATATATGTGTGTGTGTGTGTGTGTGTTACTCTTCATATTTATTAAAACATACACATTTTATTACATCCTTCAATTTTTTAAGATCCTACCTTGTATGGTATTAGAGCCAAAGGTCATTAGAAGTGAGGAATTAGGAACTTCAAAAATTAACTACCATTACCGTAGTTGCTATAGTAAAACACGTATGTGTGTTACTTTTCATATTTATTAAAACATACACATTTTATTACATCCTTCAATTTTTTAAGATCCTGCCTTATATGGTATCAGAGCGAAGTGTCATTAGAAGTGAGGAATTAGGAACTTTAAAAATTAATTGCCATTACCATAGTTGCTGTACAAAATACTGTTCAAAAACACTGTTCACCATTGTTTACTATTACTGTTCACACACTGTAGCAGTTTACTGTTTATTATTGTTCATCTGTAGCACTGCTCATTTCTTAGTTAAATTAAAGATTAGATAAATTTAGAAGATTTTAATCTAGAAGAACTCTAGAATTGATTCTAGGTTACGCTTGGTCAACCGTGTTAGATGGTCCTGGAGGTGGTCTCGTACCTTGGTGATCCCGTAATCTAGGAGAAAAACTAGAATTTTTAGGTTAGAATTATTTTAGAGGTATCTAATTTCTTAAGGAGATTAGAAAGTAGCAGTAGACGAGATGATAATAGTAGCAGTAACGCTATTAGAATTAATAATCAACAACACAAACAATAATCAAGAATTAATGAAATCAATTAACACTCAAGAAATTAATATGGCAAAAATTAATCAACACTTACATAACTGGAGCATACCACTAGTTAGGAAACACAGAATATATCAAATAGGTAGTTTTGAATTTATGTCAGATTACTCTATTAAAACAACAGAAGATACAATAATGATAACCGAAGAAAAGGTTGAAGAAATTCAACTTTTTTCTGAAGAATCAATATATAAACACAGACAAAACAATTATAAATTGTTACACATGGGATTAGTACAAGTAGTAGTAAAACCATTATTTAGATTAGGACAAAACATTCCAATATTAGTAATGTTAAGAGATGCAAGAAATTTAAACTTTAATAACTGTCTATTAGCAGTATTAAACTCTAATTTAGAAAATGGTCCAGTATATTTAGATTGTCATCCAAACTTTACAGTAGGATTATATGATCCAACAATAATGTCTGCATTAACTATTAATTTAAAAGCTTCTAATCTTACTTATCAAGATAAAGCAAAACCAGTAGCATTAATATATAGGATTTATTACAAAGTTATGAATATCACAATAAGTCCAAGGGCCATTAGAATGTCCCCACTAGGACACACAGTTATTATGGAAGCTGATAGAACAAAACATAAAACTTTTACACCAAAAAGATTAGCTTGGGATGAAATTATTAAACAAACAGATTGGAAATTAGAAAAATTTTGCCCTCCAAAACCTTTACATGATCAAAATGAATCTGAAATACAACAAATAATACAAGAACCAGATGGTACAGTAAGATTAAAATTTAGAGAAACTCCCTTAGAACAAAATCAACCCATAATTACTAATAAAAATCATCACAACCATAGGATTGAAGAAATTACTATACCTAGGCCCTCATTAGCCAGTTCAACAAGTAAAT